GAAGGTTCATCTAATGGACTTATTCTCATTCCCTGGTGGCCTTGGAACTGCACATTCATGAATTCTAAAGATTCCCTTGTAGTTATAACGAATGTCACTCTCTCGTTTCGTCTGAGAATGTCTGCGAGGAAATGTGTGAAATCCTCTTTCACTTTTGGCCTTTCACTTAATAACTCATCAGCATTATCCAGAATTACTGTAAAGGGTGCTGACAATTCGCTTAAAAGACGGGAAAGTTCATCATTAATTGAAGGATGCTGTTGGTTTTCTTGTTCACTTGCGACAGGTCGTCCGAAAAGACTAAGAAGCTTTGATGCCAGATCAGCTGTTGACTGAAGCCCTCGTAGGGATAGGTAGTACACTGGCAATCCCTGAGAATGAAGATGATGTCCCGCGGCGATTGCAACCGACGTTTTTCCGAATCCGGGTGAACCCCAGATCGACACGATTTGCGTGGATCCAGAAGCCACGTGACCAGCGATTTCTTCACACTCCCTCTGGCGGCCAGTAAAGTGTGGAACCTTTGGTGGAAGACATGATTTTGGCAGAGATGGCCTTGAACCTTTTGAAACACAAAATAAAACCACTGATAATCATGCAGAATATATATTTCTTTACTTGTTTGCATTAATAGGGCAAGTCCTGGGTACTTACGTGTTCCAATACTATGGCGCCTTAGATCTAATACAACAAAGATATTTGTTCTGTTCTGCATTGACTTATTTATTTCTTAATAGCTTAAGTTGATAAAATTATTTACATAAAACCGCTTCCAAGAGAGGATGAGAACTAAAAGAGTTTATCCTCCATATAGGCCCTTTAACTTAGTTAGTCCCTCTCAAACTATTTATGCACCTGGTACCTTGTTCTTCCGCGGATAATGTTACCACGCGTGTTGCGTGGATGTTTTCATGGGGGATGACAATGCATGTAAAGCCGCACGTCACAGGATTGTCTATTTCTAGACCCACCTGGGATTTATGAAACCGGAAGTGATCTAAAAATAGCTTTCAACTGAGATGGATTACCTTGATAATAGTGCCCATATTGGAGAGTTACTTTCTTAACCCTCATCTTCTATTGTCGCCGCTATTATGGAGATTTTCAAGTTGGGTTTTAGAGACCTAGCCATCAATTAGCCCTTTGTCACGTTATCTCTTCTATTATTTGCTGTGGCGAGGAGCTAAGGCTCAAAAGTTGCTTTCGGCATGAGCGCAAGCCCACATCATTACCAGACATCAGAAGCATATATGCTTCTGCAGACATATAATGCATGCTTACGTTTACTTAGTTTGTCTCAATTAAACAAATAGATTCCATGTTACCGTGCGTCTGTTCAGCAATAGATCACAGGTGACGTCAAAATGTGATAAGAACAAACAAGTAGCACACCAGGCAATACCGTGTATCCCTGTTGCTCTTACCACATTTTGACGTCTTCTGTGATCTATTGCTGACAGACGCATGGCAACATGAAATCTATAACAAAGAAACAAAACAATGTTTTAACATTGCTATGAAAATACGAGAATAATTTGACTCATAATAAAACAAGAATTAGTTCGTGCTTAACGTGCTTCTCTCGAGTTCGAACGCGAGAGTCTGTCGGAGGGCAAAGTGAAGTGTTACAATTGTTGAAGACGTCGTCTGGGGCAGGGAACTACGGCTTTTGGAGTGCTCTCTCGCTCTGCCATCCCAAGTAAATAAATAAGTCGATAGACTCGCATTTAAAAGCGTGAACCAAGTCTCTTAGGACATAATGATTGTAATGTTGGAAAGATTTGGTGTAATTAATCGCTGTTAATAAGCATTCTTTTTTATCTGAGCCTTAGATTAATCTGCAAAAGGACATGATTCTGCTTCGTTCTTTTGGCTTTTCTTGGTGCTTGTTTAATTCGAGCCTAGAAAATCTACACCCAAAGGAAATAAGGAAATCAAATGGGTGCTTAGCGCGTCGGAAACAAAACTCTACTCACTGTCGATGATTAACCACTTTACAGAGCTCATTTAAGAGAGCATGCATAGGCAGGTGTCCACGGAGTTATGAATTCACTCTCACTACAGGTCATGAATTTAGATTGTGCCGATTAACCCACATAACTGAATTTCTACCTGGCTTGTCTTGAGCTAGAACTTCACTCAGATCGTTGATCCTTTGTTCCAACCGGGAGATGTCTTCTTTATTTGCATTGACTGCCTTCATTTCAGTTAATAGCTCTCTTATCTCGTCGATATCTGAGCTTACGTCCTCCAGAAACTTGATGTATGCTCGCCTTTCCTCTTTTATGGCTTCCTCCAACTTGAGACCTTTTTTTATGGGAAAGTCCGACTCGGTCAAACCACCAATGACATCTATGGGATCTGTCTTGACTTCAAGAGCTTTGAATGCATCTTTGGCATGTTGTACGTATAGATCAAATGTTGCTTTGACTATTTCAGAGCTGGTTGAGTGACAAAGCGAATTTCTTAGCAGTCGAAGTTGATCAATTGCAAGTGCAAATGTCTCAGCGTCATTTCCACCCGGACTCACCACAGATACATGGAAACTCCCATGGGCCAACTTATGAGGCTTCACATAGAGATCACTGAGTGTCTTGTGGTGACCAGCGCTGTCAGGCAAAGCGAAGGACCGCGCGTAAATAGTGGCCTGGAACAAGGCTGTGCAATCCCATTCCTCGTAAGAGAGATTTGTGGGAACTTTGGTCCTGCCACCTTCTGCACTAAGAAACAGATTTCTTACCGCAATGGAGTCATCCCAGCGTTGGAAACCACGGAGGTGTCCAAAGGTGTTGTCCCACATGGATCTGAACTTTTGGCGTAAAGCCTTGGGGAATTCATTCAGTACAATAGAAGCCAACTTGAAATAGTTTAACTCCTCGTCCTTAAACGGCTGCAGAGACATCCTTTCTTATCAGCAAAGATCAAGGATCTGATCAAGAAAAGAAAGAAAATTTAAAGTTGGTTGAAAATGTTTCGTAAATAATTCAGTGGCGGATCCCCCCCTCTTATTTTGAGTAAAATGTATCGCAGAAGACAGAAAAGCCAGCAGGGCAAGAAAAAAAACCGAGTGCCATTTTCACTCAAAGGTTTCTTGAAAGTTCTTGCCCATAAGAAGTCGCGTAAACTAAGTTGCATATATCAACCCGATATATGTGACAAAATTTTCAAACCTACTAGTCTGAAAAAGTTTTAGGTTAGTGTGG